CTAACGATTCTATGATTCTGTGATTCTATGACTTAGTATTTTTACCTGGTAAGGGAAGTAGTGTTTGCCATCATCAATTATTTTACAAAGGAACCATGTGTATGAGCAAATAGGGACTGCATTAGAGAATGTATTGGATGCAAGTAAACAATAGAATTAAGGGAGCTACTCAGATCTAAAAAAGATGGAAATCTAGCCAGTGTTCATACTGTCAACTAAATGTTAGACTCCGTCAGCCTTGTTTGATGCTTTTTCAGCTCAGTTTCTCCTGAGCTGTTTTATGAGAACATGATCAGCAAATATTTTTAGATGTTGGAAATGGAGTTTACAAAGTCTGATAAATAATAGAATTTATCTTAAATCCTCTGTTCTTATTTCTACAGTGGAGAAAGTTGCGTGCAAGAATTTCACTCTAGATTTCTTTCTTTTCAGACCTGTGTGTGGAATCAGAGGGAAAACTCTCATAATTAATCTGCCAGGTAGCAAGAAAGGGTCACAGGTAAGAAGTGTTCTTACTTATCTGTTACTGAGGACCCATCATGAGTACCTCCCATTGTTCTGAATGGTAGCAAGTACCCACTACAATAAATTTTACAGAAATGAATTGAAATGCATATTCATATAACTGAACACACCATCGCCCTCAGTCAGAGACAATACAATTCTGATCTGACTGGAAGTATTGTGTGACCAGGACAGCATTATGTGTGGTTCAAAAGAGTGCTTACTGTAGCAGGTAGGGCTAATGAGGAATCTAATGGTCTTGTAGTCTTCCTCCTTCTTCTCTAGTCAGCGTGTACCTGATCTCCGTGTTCTCTGCAGCTGCCAGGAAAGGACTGTTTCACACAGAAGTAAGAGGAGGGCCTAATGTGTGGTAGAACTTGCTGTAGTATGCAGAGTATTCCTTATTTTGATCAGCAAGAGGGGAAAAAAAAGGCACGTAATTTTTAAGAGTTTGAGGATTTTTTTAAATCTTTTGGATATGGGTATCAGACTTTATACCCTTTATACGGTTTGTTTTCTTCCTGCATTTTACCCAGTTTGGATAGGGAAGTTAGGCTTTGTTTTATTCATGCTTACTTTCTGACTGTAGAGCTAAGAGAAACACAGTGAAACATCAGGAGGAAATTTTTTGTTGTTGTTAGTAAGGCTAGATCTTTCCAGTGCTCACTCTTTCTGTGTAGTTGGCTGATAGATCCAAAAAAACCCTTCTCCGCACAAATACTGCTAAGCTGAATAGTGGGCCATACAACCTGATATAAAACTGCTAAGGTGGATCCCTTGTCAATCCCAAGAACGTGTTTCTCCAGGGCTCAGACTATGGCAGAGGCCTTATTAAAAAACGTCTTTACCTGTGACCTCTAACAAATGCGTACCTGGCAGTTTGTCAACATCTTCTGAACCAGTCACACCCGATCACAGACGAGACAGTACTGGTGTGTTTGGCGGCACAGCCCCGAAGTCACTGAAAGACTTATGTCTGGAGACAAATAAAGAATGTTTATGTAGGCTGTCACCTGAAAGTTGAAGAGGAAATGTTTTGAATACTATTATCTTAAGCAGTCATTGCAGGTTTTCAGATACATTGTCTACATGTTTCAGTTCAAGGACTCAGTAAGGCCTTCTATGATTCCACCATTCCTTAGAGTCTTTTAGGGAAATCTTATGTTACTCTGTAATTGAACGGAAATTAAAAAGCCTTTGAAACATACAGCAAGCACTGGAGAATGGTTAGATGGAGTATACCTACCTGAAAGTCTTCCAGTTGTGAGTCGGCAGGCATATGTATGTACATGTATTTAACATAGCGGTGGGCCCCACATCTTAAAGAACTGGTGTACCAGTAACAAGATTTTTTCAGAAGTCTATACGTCTTTTGTTGAATTATGAAAGAGGTGAAATAGCCTACAATCTCTAATGCTTTTTGTTGTGTTCAGTAGCATGTCTAGGTACAGAAAAAATTGTCACTTTTTGCCTTGAGGCACTCAGGTTGTGAAGATAGGTAAATTGTAGAAAGAGGATGAGGAAAAGAAATGAAAAAATGTTAATAAGAATTTTAACAATAGTTCAGTATAAAGTAAGTAATAAAAAACATAATTTTGCTGGAAAAGAAAAAAAAGTAATATGATTTCATTAAACAAGCATGTTTTTATAAACCGATGATTTATTTGTTCCTGTCATGTCGATACTCTGTTCTGTCACAGTGTATTTTAATATGAAACATCTTTAAAGTATCAGATTTCAGCAAAGATTTTTTAGATTAATAGTAGAGAAAATTGTTTCATAACAGGCTGGATATCAAGAACCAAATAGGACGGGTTGTTGCCAGGAATTTCTCTCATTTTTTCTCTTTTATGGCTTGCTAATTTCCCTTCCATTGTGTTAGTGCAATCATATAAGGAACTTATATAAAGCTTCGAAATTGCAGCAGTATACCTATTTTATTAATGAAATATTAAAATATTAATAGAAAATGGCAGCAGTGTAAATGCTCCATCTCCAAAACAGACACAATGCATGCCAAACGAGTTTTCTCCAGAGAACGTTTGTGTAGCATGCACCACTAGATCAGGATCTATAGAATACTTCCATTTTTGTGTCGCTCTGGTCTGTTTCCTTTTCTTTTAGCTTTGCAAAAGGTACTTAATGTTATGAAAGAGGGCAAAGTATGAAATTACCAGATGCTCACTGAAATCATTGGATCTATGGCAATTTTCATAATTGTAGTAACAATTGCCTAAAACAATGAGTTTTACAAATAGCATGAGCTTTTAGAGTACTTACTGGGGGCCTATTCATCAGCAGTCAAGCCAACAAGGCTTTATTTCAGTGGTGGGAGTGGGGAACATGCTTCTCTAATGAGTTAATCATTAATGTACCTTTTCACGATTATTCTTCAGTTCACAGATTGTTGTCCTTTTTTACCACTTCCTTGAAGTCTGCTTTTTTACTGAAGTAATGATTGTTGTATGGTTCAGTATTTTAAACCATTTTTGAAGTAATACTGTGGAGGCTCAGTAACTCTTAATTTTTGCAGTAACATTAGAAGTTATAATTCTTTATTATGTTTACAAATATGTTTTAATATATTTTCATTATGTACAGCATCTTGTGGTCATCCAGTTTACTCCAGTTGTCTGTCACGGAGGTACACCAAAATGACTCCACATAGATAATAAATTCAAGCAAGTTTTAATTTATAACTGAAACTGAACAGGCGAAACCAACAAGACAATGGGGGTAACAAAGCAACGCTCCGATAGCATTTAACAAATTATAGGTTCGGTACACTAGTTGGGGATGTTATTACTACGCAACAACACGTGAGAATGATGACCACGAAGTGTGCATGCGCTCACTCAGACAAAAGGAAACCTCTCACTCAAGGGTTCCCAGAAGATAGAATCATGCACCCGTAGGGGCAAGGACTCATTCAAGGATATACCCAGCAGAATTAATTCCTTCCTCAGAAGGAGGGTGAGGGCACACCATCCCGGAAAGTTTCCTTGAGTGGCATCCCAGTCCCAAAGGATTCTGAATCCAAGGCTTTCCGAACACAGACCTGCTACTCTGAGGAAAACCACACCCAAGAGGGTCTCCAGCAGGGGCCCCATTTTATAGCCTGGTCGGATTTGAGCTGTGGTCATCCATGGGTTGTGGTCCAGACGCTCTGGGCTGAGGCGCCTCATTGACCAGGGATCCTGTCTGTTGACAGAGGGGTCCTGCCTTTCTTATTCCCGCCACCGAGGAGTACGCACTGGTTGGCACCAGACCAGAGTGCATATATGACCACAGCCATGGTGTGACACCAGAGGTGCAAAACGGGTCGGATTTGAGCTGTGGTCATCCATGGGTTGTGGTCCAGACGCTCTGGGCTGAGGCGCCTCATTGACCAGGGATCCTGTCTGTTGACAGAGGGGTCCTGCCTTTCTTATTCCCGCCACCGAGGAGTACGCACTGGTTGGCACCAGACCAGAGTGCATATATGACCACAGCCATGGTGTGACACCAGAGGTGCAAAACGAAGGGTGTGAAAGAGCCAGTGGCTGCCGTGTTAAAAGCCCTGACCTTTATCTGCAGTGGAGCGGAGTGGGGCTGGGGGTGCTCCTGCCATGCTTCAGAGTGCCCAACTGAATGTTTAAAAAATTTATAAATCTATGAAGTAGTCTGACTTTTCATTACTCTTTAAGAGCAACTGAAAGGTGGGTTCTTACTTAGAAGCTTTGAGGAAATACAGTGTTTGTGAGTCATGTTTTTGACTTACAAAGTTGCTTATATAAACTCTAGTATAATTTCTGTTGGGTGGTTTGCTCTTTATTTTGTTTACATAGTCATTTTTATTTATTGAAAATGTTTGTTACAATATCTATTTACACAATGTTTACCATTATTTATTTTTCGGATACTCTAAAATGTTGGAATACATTTTTTAAAATCTTCCTTATACTTGAAACAAAACCAAAAATGAAACACAACAGAAGTATAATATCAGCTTTCTCTGTCAGCTTGGAAGCTCCCTAACTGCACTGCCATGGCAATTCATTCTTGTGACTCTGCCATCATTTTCCAATATTTTAATGTTTATATACAGTCTGCTTAAATGGACATGAAGAAAACTCGTTACTGAGGTGCCTGGGTTGGAGGATGAGAGACAATAGTCATAAATTGAAGAAGGCAGCTTCCAGCTGGGTAAAAAGAAAAGAAAAAAAAAATCACTTTGAGGGTAATTAAGCATTAGAATATGTTGTCAAAAAGGGTTGTGAAGCCTCTGTTCTTGGATTTTTTCAAGACTTTACTGAACAAAGTCCTGAGCAACCTGTCTGAATTTCATATTGGCCCAGATCTGAGCAGGAGGCTACACTGTGTGACATCCTGAGGTTCCTCTTTGGTTTGATGAAATACTGACATATTTTAGCAGTAGAGGTAGCTATATGTGTGTATGCCCATTATAGAACAAGAACAGTTACACAGCATCTATGTTTTTGCTTTCTTCATCCATATAAAATAAACTTTCTAATTGGTTTTAAGATCATAGAGCAAGGAGAGGTTTGAAAAATAGATTATTTATGAACAATTTTTTCTGAGTTTCATAAAATGATAATGACATCAGTGTAGTTTGTCATTCTTCCAATATATAGGATGAGTCCATGAATAAAAAAGAATATAATTATGTAAAAGTATAATTATGGAAACCCTTATGAATTGTTCTCTAACTGTGAAGGAGCATAATATGAATGATTTGGAGCTAATATCCCTGCAGGGATAGAGTTAATGTTTTTATTCTGCATTTTTGTAGCATTCTGCCAACTGCTGTGAACTGGTTTCTGTATTATGTATTCATGAAAATTTAACATTTGTTTTCTGAAGTTTTAATCCAATATTAGCTTAATTACAGTAGCCCCCTTGTAGAACTTAGTATATTTGCATGAAGAAAGGCAAAAATGTATAGTATAGTCCCCAGTTCTGGTTCTGAGTTTGATTTTTTACCCTTTCTGAGGGCATTTAAGGTTTTATTTATGATCGGGTGACAAGATACATCTAAATCCCAAATATCTTTGAAGATTACATCTGAAAAATCCCTATTTGCTTCTGCAGGCAACTTTTCATAGTCATTTCTCTTCTTGTTGTGCATAGGAATGCTTTCAGTTTATACTGCCAGCCCTACCTCACGCCATTGATCTCTTGCGGGATGCCATTGTAAAAGTAAAGGAGGTACACGATGAGCTTGAAGATCTACCTTCACCACCACCTCCTCTTTCTCCTCCTCCAACCACCAGCCCTCACAAGCAGACAGAAGACAAAGGAGTACAGTGTGAGGAAGAGGAGGAAGAGAAGAAGGATAGTGGAGTTGCCTCAACAGAGGACAGTTCTTCTTCACATATAACGGCACCAGCCATTGCAGCTAAGGTGAGTCTGGCTTGTTTCCCTAAGAGACCCTTTAGTTTCTCTCTCAGGTCCTTTCCACTGATATTCATTTGCATGTTAAGACTGCATTGGTGTCTGTGTGGTCAAACAGATGTACTTTAGGTACATTTTGTAGAAATACTGCTTCATAAAAGTATATGAATCCTGTTTCATAGATTATCTCAAATTTCAGTGAGAGATACATTGTTTATTATCTTCATGATAACGTGCATTTTTAAGATACCATTCTGATGTGACAGACTATTTTTAGTGGAGTTTTTTTTAATTCAAAGTACTCACATGCCTGAACATGCAAAGTCCAGTAGGTGGCATATTAAGGAATTGCAACAAAATTTTCCATGCCATAATATCTATTTTGAAAAGAAAATGTTATTTTCTAAAACCATTGATAAAAAGTATGATGGGTAGGTAGCAGGTTAAGTAATAAGCTATCCAGACTACTGTCTTTCAGTGTGCATGTCCACATAAGAGTTGTGAAATTCTGCCACAAAATTGTTATCGCATTGTCTTTATAGCCATGCTTTAACCAGTAATCAATATTACTCAAACCAAAATAATGAATTCGAGACTACAAAAGGGAAAGATTAGATAATATTTGCACATTATTTCAGTTCAAATTTCAAATGTTTTCCAAAGAAATACCATATTATTTGAAGCAATATATAAATATTTACCTCAGTTTTATGTCTTCAGTTTTCAGATGGAAAGACAAGGTATTCTTATGTGTTTGGAAAGGTTCCTGTTCTATATTTACTCCACAAATTGTGCTTTTAATTCTTATTATGAGAATTGAAAGTCTAAGTAACTCAAAATTATATTAAACAATTTCTAAACCAAAGCAGCAACATTCTAACTCCAGAAATATGAATTCAGGTCTGAGACATCTTGATATTTCTAAGACAGCTGCAGCTGGAGATCATCTCCTCATGTACAGAAAATCCTCATTACGTATATCTTTACAGGGATGAATTAAGGTAATTATCACATGCAAGTTTCAGTTTTTATTAATGTCAGCTTTAAATTGATTAATTTCTTTTGATATAGGCAAAGATAAATAATATGTGCAATTTTTAAAGGCAGAAAATACCAGAGATCTAAACTGGCTGTGTTCACATGAGTTTGGCATTTCAGTGTCACACTTGTTTTCACCTCATTCACTTTCAGTCATTTGCTTGTACAGTTTCTTGTTTCCTGTCACTGTATTCATAGCTGTTATGTGTTGTGCATTAGAAGCATCCATCCCACACCAGTTCAGCTGTTATCATGGCAAAAGGTGAACAGCCCATCCCTGGTCTCATCAGTTATTGCCATCACGCAGCAGGCAGTGCAGGAGAACCGGTAAGAGACGCTTCCAAGAGGCTTTTGCACTAACAGTAGCTAAAAATACACTGCCTGCCTCCTAGTCTACTGTGTGAACAGACAGTGTTATTTATTTTCTTCTAACAAAGACACATCAGTGCTATCTTTTAGAGAAAATGCTACAGAAAATATTCTGTTTCAGATACAGGGCTGAACAAGGTAAAGTTCGTGTGCGTTGTCAGTTTGAATCATTTCACTGCTGAGATAATCGTTGCTATAAAGCCCGTGTTTCTGATCAGTCATTGGCTTCATCATCTAATATATTTAATAACTGAATATAATTAAAATAATCTCCTAAAATTACTGCTTTAGAGCTATGAAATTTTGGTAACTTTTTCCCCTGCATTTGGCTTGCTTTGCTTTTTTTCTCTCAATAGTTTGTTTGTCAACATAATGCAGCTTTTGCACTGGGTGTTTGTAGTTTACTTTCATCACTTGAAGTTTCTCCCCTATTTTTGTATAAAAGTAGAATTTCTCAAAAACAAAAGAAAAGACTCGAGTCAGGATACAGTGGACTTCATTGAAGTTACTGGATTCTAGTGAATAGTAGGCAGCTATTTCAATGAATCGTGGGAAGAACTTAGTTTATTATAACTCAGAGGTTATAACTCAGGCCCTAGCAAAATACTAACTATACTTTATTTTCCATCTCCCAAAGTTTTATTCTGTGCTTGAATCAAGATAAAAAAAATGGCTACAGTATCATTAGGAATGAAACATAATGTCCCGTATTCAGAACTGTAGATTAGAGAAACCTAAAGAAGGCAGTTGGCCTAGAGAGATTTGAGCTGCCCTGACCTGTTCATTCCACGTCAGCCATCGGGAAAATATGTCACTAGATTCGATGACCAGAGGCTGCACTTTCTTGTTCCCTTAGTCATGACACTTAGGAAATGTGAAGGCTTTGAAGTTCACACACCTTGATGATAAAGCTCTATATCTGTACACACACACACACACACACATTTATTCCAATAGTTTCATTTTTTGAGCTGGGATTACTAAACTAGAATTGACACCACGTTCTTCAGTGTCAGTAAAAGAGTGAATTCAGCCTCTCTGAAGCACACTGTTAAGCTGTTATCCTAACTTCTGTGCCGTTTTGCAAATCACTCTTGAGCTATTTTTTTATGCATTGTATAATCCAAATCAGATCTTCAAACTTAGAGCAGGAACTAGCTAGTTTTTCAGAAATTTGTTTATTTTTTTTATTCTACCCTTTCTCTATGTTTTTGAGACATTTTTGCTCTTTTATAACAATCATAGTAATTACCATCTACAGCTTGTTTTCTTTGTATCTCACCAGCACTATCAATCTCTGTTCCAGCCCTGGACAAAAGAGAATAAAGAGCTCATATCTTTTCCTTTTTCCCCTTCTTGTTAACACTTAGTTCTCTAATCTGAAAACACAAATGTTTAAGCCAATATAAAAATACTTCTGGAAAAGGTTATATCAGATAAAAATAGTAGAAGCAATGACTGATTGTCATAGATGGTGGTGTCTTCCTCTGTCACTTCATTCATTTCTCATTCCTTTCTTTCTCAGTCAGCATCTTAAAACAGGTTTCTCGCTCCACCTAGTGCAATCAGAAACTATTTTCACTGAACTTACGAGTTTGTTGTACTCCATTTAGAGTTTTGAGACTTTTACCCTCTATTAAATTTGTTTGAAACTGGAAAATTAGTTGAAAAATTTTAAGGGGGAGACATCATAAATGCTCAGAGTGTAACTTCATGAAAGGTTAAAAAAAAACCCTGATCTATCCAAAATGCAATAATATTCCTGCCCTTCTTTATTGCAGATTTTCAGGCTTCAGGAAATGCAAAAATGTCTCATGGGTTTATCAAACTCTTTAGCAGGGTTAACTAAAAGTTGCCTTGATTAGAGACTTAGATTGCTTAAATTTAATTTTAAAAGGAAAAAACTTATTAAATGTAGGGGAGAAGAATGAGACGTTCCCCATATCACCTAACATATATGCATAGAAATACCAATCATAATCTACTGACTCTTTCACTTAATAAACAGTATATACCCATTATATTTTTTATGTATTTATGTTTATGCAGTATATATGTATTAGTGTCTTCTCTGAAATCAGCAGATTGTAGTGGTTTAAAGAAAATATTAAGGCTGGTTTTAGCAATACAACACACTCCACTGTCATATTAGAGAGCTAAACCTCTTGAGAGGAAAATTTGTGACTCTGAACTAACTTAATTCTCTCAGTGGGATTTTGTGTCTGTGAAAGCTAGCAAGCTGAAACTTAGAGTTCTAGACAGGTTTACATACAGATTGTTTTATGGCATTTGTATTTTCTGTAAAGGTGATGATTAAGGAATAATTCTCATTTAAATTAAATGCCTGTAATCATCTTTTCTCTTTATTTTCAGCTTCCTTTTCTGATTAATGTCCTCACTGAAATTGTACTTAAATTTTATTTTCTCACAGGCAAAAATTAGTACTTCACATGCAGTTCAATGGAGACTGGAATTCTCTCAGTCACTTTGTTACAGAGAGAGTTTTTTGTTCTGAAAAAGGTGATTTGGGATAAAGTTTTAGAAGCAGTGATTGATGGATATTTTGGATAGGACGAAAAAACAACAAACCAACAGTTACTTGCCTGAAGAGGATGAGACAATATGTAGTATCTGGTTACTCTGGAGTCACCAAAGTAAATACAAGGAGAACTGTATCATAGTATCGTTTGCAAAATCAATATTGTATTTGTATTGTAAGATCTTGAAGTATAGAGAGACTCAAACATAATCATCTCAAGATGTGTACAGCTTTTTATCAGAGGAGGGTAAAGAAAAGGTGTCATATCTGAATACTTGAAACTATTCTTTTTGTTTGTTTTATGCCTTTATCAAAATGTAATTTTTTTCTGTACTGTCCTTGTTCATTGAGATTAAAAGGAAGCATTAAAAGTTGTAGGTAGTATTGGAGCTATGCCAATATTAAGCTTAGGGATGTCAGCCTTTTTTTAGTGTTTGACATATTAAAGATGAGATTTCAGGAGAAAAAGAAAACAGAAGGCAAATGGTGCTTCTGACTACAAACTGCATGATCAGAATATCATCGTCCCTGTTCACCTCTATTTATAGTACATCTCTAAGATACCATTTGTAAATCAGAATACTCCAAGTAGAGGCCAGTTAGGCACTGTTTTTAGAGAGGAAGATGTCCGCAGTGTAATCATCCATAGTGAAAAGAAACTCTTCTGACTTTTAGTTTATAGTGGAAATGGCAGCATAAGTTACTTAGACTTGAAAGATCCTCTGAGGAAGGTTGGGGTTTCTAAATACTGACAAAAATTGACTGTCAGTCTAGAAACGTAGCAGTAGAGCAGAAAGCAGGCAGTTGGGGGCACACTGAGAACAAGATCTGTTTCCACGCAACTTATAAGCAGGTTATAAACATGAGAAACTCTAACGTGTGGAGGAGGGTTTATGGTGAAAAAAGATCCCCTAGGTATAAACCGGTATCTCTAAGTCAAGGTTGCTAAGTTAGACATAGTTGTTATTTATAAATGGGAAGCAAGGAAGTTGAGGGGGAAAAAATGACATAAAAAAGCAGTATTTAATAACTTGAGTCTTAAGATTGGTCATTTTAACTACACAGAGACAAGCAACAAAGCTGTCTTAATATCCTGACACTGGTCTTGAGGATGCAACAGATTTTAAAAGTTAGGATTCAAGCTTGTTCTTGGAAGGATGTATTTTCCACTGCCTTCTGTTTGCCCTAAAGCCTTGCTAGGCAAGAATTCTTAAAATAACAGATGCAGACTGGGTACAGCATCTCCATTTAAAAAAAAATCCTATCTGGAAATGTCCAATGTTAGTGGTTTGACTTGTCACTGGAACTTCATTTCTTGTTTCCTTTTATTTTCTGCTATTGCCATTTCCCCAAAACATGGGGGTTCTTTTGATGGTTCTCTTGGAACTTGAACATCAGGCTGAGCTAAGAAATTCTTAATGAGGAGAAAGATCTTTAAAAATATGTGTATATATATTCCTTCTGAATTTCTAGATTTTCTTGTCTGTTGTGATAGAAAAGTGAATTGCTCAAAGTAAGAGCAATCTGATCTGGTAGAAGTGCTCCCTTTGAAAAAGGAGGAGATTAAAATCATGAACATAAAATTAGAATAAGCCTTTGTAGAGAGTGTGTTATAGCAGAATATGTGCTGCATTTTGTGTTGTAGAACTAATGTTAGAGATCAGTTCTCCTATCTGAGGTATTTATCATTTGTATGCCTTACCATTTTACACAAAAAAAGAAAAATTAGTCATTATATTAAACTAGCAATCTAGTCAATTATAAAGCTGGCGTAATATCTGCAAGACTGGGCCCAAATACTGCAGTAGTAAGAAGCAACAGACTTTCTAAGACTTGGTATATTAAAGCTAAGAAAAGCTTTATTCTTAAATGCATTCTTGTACCTCTTTCCTTTGGAACTGGTGATAAAACTGAACAGAAGAGACAGGTGGTAAAAAATAATGGTAGATTCACTTTTGTAACTGAAAGTAAGACCACATCCTCACTGTTGTAAGATAGCGTGATTCCATTTGTTTAAGTAGCTTAATAATACCAGCTAAAGGATCTGTCCCTAAAATTCTGGCTTAGAAATAGAATCATATAATAGTTTGGGTTGGAAGGAACCTTTAAATGTCATATAGTCCAATCCCCCTGCAGTGAGCAGGGAGAACTTCAGCTAGATCTGGTTGCTCATAGCCCCATCCAACCTGAGCTTGAATGTTTCCAGGGATGGGGCAGGTACCACCTCTCTGGGCGACCTGTTCAGTGTTTCACCACCCTCATTGTAAAAAATTTCTTCCTTATATCTAGTCTAAATCTACCCTCTTTTATTTTAAAACCATTACTCCTTGTCCTATTGCAACAAGCCCTACTAAAAAGTCATGTCCAGCTTTTCATCCACCAGTAGCCCCAAGTCCGTCTCCCCAGGGCTGCTCTCAATCCCTTCATCCTTCAGCCTGTATTGATACCAGGATTGTCTCGACCCATTTGCAGGACCTTACGCTTGGCCTTGTTGAACCTCATCAGGTTCTCATGGACCCACTTCTCAAGCTTGTCCATGTCCCTCTGGATGGCATCCTGTCCCTCAGGCATGTCTACCGCACCACTCAGCTTGGTGTCATCTGCAAACTTGCTGAGGGTGTACTCAGTCTATGTTGCTGATGAAGATGTTAACAGAACTGATTCCAGTACAGACCCCTGAGGGAGACCACTTGTCACCGATCTTCATCTGGACATTGAACTGTTGACCACTACCCTCTGGATGTGACGATCCAACCAATTCCTCATCCACTGAACAGTCCATCCATTAAATCCCTATCTCTATATAATTTAGAGAGAAGGATGTTGTGTGGGACCATGTCAAAGACCTTACAGAAGTCCAGATAGATGACATCTGTAGCTCTTCCACTGATGTAGTCACTCCATCACAGAAGGCCGCAAGTCAGGCGAGACTTGCCCTTGATGAAGCCATGCTGACTGTCTTGAATCACCTCCCTGTCTTTCACATGCCTTAGCATAGCTTCTAGAAGGATCTATTCCATGATCTTCCCAGGCACAGAGGTGAGGATGACAAGTCAATAGTTCCCAGAGTCATCCTTTCTACCTTTTTTAAAAACAGGTGCAATGTTTCCTGTTTTCCAGTCATCAGGAACTTCACCTGACTGCCATGAGTTTTAAAATATCATGGAGAGTGACTTGGCAGCTACATGAGCCACTTCCCTCAGGACTCTGGGATGCATCTCATCAGGTCCCATAGACTTATGTATGGTCAAGTTCCTCGGGTGGTCATGAACCTGATCTTCTCTTACAGTGGGAGGGTCTTTGCTCCCCCAGTCCCTGTCTTGCTGTCCATCCACTTGAGAGATATGGGAAGAGAGGTTGCCAGTGCAGACTGAGGCAAAAAAGTTGTTGAGTACCTCAGCCGCCTTCTCGTCTGTTGTTACCAGTTTGCCAGTCATGTTCATCAGGGGGAATATGCTTTCCTAGCTGGCCTTCTAATACAGTATGTGGAAAAAAAAAAATTAGTTTTATTTTTCCCTTCAGAATGCATTTCAAACTAAGCATTTGCTTTGGATGGTGGTTTCTAGTGCTTTTGCCTGTACTCCCTCCAGAGAGGCCTGCAGCTTTTGCAGCACAAGCCTTACATCAAGAATTTTTCTAGCTGAAATAAAATCTTCAGTACATGGAATGAAGAGTATTTACTCACTGCATGACATTTCTTATGAGAAATTTTCTCACTGCATGACATTTCTTCAGAGGGGTTCAGTCATTGCTAATAAATGGTTTTCTGTTCAGAATGTTGTCCCCTAGTTAGAGAATGGGAAGTCTGCCTCCCTTCATGCCACAGTAGAATTCACTGTTGGTCATTGCTGGATTCGAAACAGAGGCTTAAAAGGAAAAACATAACTTTCTTATTATTTCCCATTGTAATATATCTGATTCATAGTTTTTTTCAGGATAAATAGTATGTTTTATGCTACTTCAGTAAGAATATGATCTTATAAATTTGCTAGGTATTTGTTACTGAAATTATGAGAACATGCCATTAACCACTACCAGCACTGCATATGAGGAGGTACACAAACTGAGGAGTGAGGTATTCCTATGTTTTCATGTAAGGTTTTGAGTAAGTTTTAAATGTAGTATAGTTCTTACTAGTAATTCAATCTCTGTTCTTTTTAAGATTCCAGATTCCATCATCTCTCGTGGTGTTCAGGTGCTCCCACGTGATACAGCCTCCCTCAGTACTACTCCTTCAGAATCTCCTCGTGCCCAGGCCACCTCTCGTCTCTCCACTGCATCCTGCCCAACACCAAAAGTAAGCACTTCTATGCCTTGCACGCTCCATGCTCAGACATAGAATCTATCAGATTAATGTATTGTCTCTGCTGAACAAGGTTGGTTCGCATGCAAGGGTTGTATCACCCTAAGTAATAGATAAATGCAAGACAGTATAGTTCATTCCATGTGTACTGTTGCACAATTTAATGTGGGTCCACCAACACGTTGTGGTTACTGAAGTTTCGTGTTATCTTTTGCAATATCAATCATGAATATGAAAGTGTTAACACCTTGATTGTCTTTAATGTCCCCAGGAACGTAGATAATCCTGCCGCTGAGTGAAAACATTAAGCAAGTAGTATTTTGTCGACAAAATGTATGTGCAAATTTCTAGCCTGGGCTGGGGCAGTTCTGTGCCCCACTTTATTATTGTTAGGTTTAAGGCACTTTCAAATCGACTGGTTTTGCTCAAACTTGGATATTTGCTGCCTGACATTTGGAAACAAAAACCAGCCTAAATTGAATAGAAAGAAAGTTTTAATGCCAACCTTGTGGGGTTATTATTCAGTTCTAACAGATTATGCTGTACTATTTAATCATTGAGGCAAACTCTATTAATGTTCTCTTTTTGTCAACCTCTACATAGTATACATCAAAAACTGAGTGAATTGACCAGTGGCAAGGCCTGTAATGTTTACCTTCAGTAGGATTCCTTTTAGCAGAAGAAAACTATCTGAATTCGCTTTGTACGTTCACATCACAAAGATCTTTCTGTGGCACCAGATGCCGACGTACTAATAGACCCATAGCAGATGACAAACAATAACATTCTCCCTCATCTAATTCATAATCCTTGAAGATTATTCTGCTTGCTAAAGTGATTCCCAACATCTGCTAGTTCTTCTTTCCTGCTGTCTCATTATTTTCTGTCAACAAACAAGATTTATTGGCAACCACCCATAGAAATGTTTTGGTTTAGCCTATAAGATTGTTTTATGCAAGACTCACCTTCACTGTAATAGAATTAAAATTATTCTGACGGACAGCATACTTGAACTTCATTATATAGTCTACTTTTCTTAAGATGTTCGGTGAATTCTATCTGCAAGCACCTTCGTTTTTTTTGCTAAAAGTCACTTGTCTGATGGTTTAAAAATAAAAACTCAGAGCTTGTTACATTAGAACACTCAGAGCAGAAGAGCGATACAAAACAGAGAAACTTCACTGAGTTTTATGCCTGTTGACGAAATAAAAGTGTCCAAAGAAAACCAAAGGAGACCAGTAACAGGCATAAAACAGCACTGCTAAGAAGTAGCTCTAGATGAAGCCTATAAATTTTAAGGAAGTTTATCACAATGGGAAGGAGTAAAGTTTATCTATTATGAAGCAGAATGCACTACTCTAGACCATCTTCAAAGATTCAGAGATTACAGGAGGAAACTACAGGAACTTTGGAGCAGATTAAAAATCTGAAGCTCTTCTTTGGAAAATTAGTTGAGATAAGCTCTTACTGTAATTGGATCATGCTTTGGTATCTCATGTTAAGCCTTGTTTTTCATGTATTACTGCAAAACCAGATTTTGTTCAAAATGTGTGCGAACACACCACTTTCGTAACAGGAATTGCCGTGCAACATCTATCTAATCTAGCTTTTCTGTGATGTCT